CATAAATTATGATGGCTAATATAATGTAATTTATATTAATACATTGAGATAAAAGACCAGAGGCTTCGACTGTATCATGAATTGAAACCTCTGAATTAAGAGTTCTATTAGAAAAGTAAAATAATACTTCACCAATAGCCTCAAAATTCTCATAAATAATGCGAGAAGTTTCCAAATGACCAGTCCACCTCTGGTCTAAAAGTCTCTTATGGGTGTGGCCTGTATATTTACAGGATACGTTAAAACGCCTGAAAAAATTATACAATGCATTTGATAAATTAAAAAAATTGAAATAATAACAATATTATTATACCAATTTTGAACCACAAGATGCAACTGGTTGTAGCAATGTATAAAAGGAATATTTTTATTAATTTTTTTTTGAAGAAGTGTTTGCATTCCTCCATTTCGGCCCGACATAACGTTTGCACCATCATATGCCTGGCTTATTATATTAGCTGAATTAATATTTAGATCATTAAGTTGCTTTAAAATGCAATCTGTAATGCTTTCAGCAGAAAGACACTCTAAATTAATGATTCCTATTAAATTTTCTTGGATTTCTTCAGAAAAAATATAGCGAATTATTATGCTCAGGTTTTCACAACATGAAGCATCTTTTGTCTCATCAGCCTTAAGACAAAAAAAGGCATCTCGCTTTTATTATATTTGTCTGAAATATGTTCAAGCACCATATCTGCCATAATGGATATTATTTCGTTTTGAATCTGTGGTGATGTATACTGGGCATTTTGGGGTATAAATTTCATAATTTTATTTAATTCAGGGTCTTTTTGGATGGTGGAGGGAAAACATTGCTATAAATAGCCCAGAAGAATAAATTATGTTTTCATCTTTTGCAGCATCCGTAATAGAACCAGTCCCAGGGAAATGTAGCTCTTGTATGCTAAGAAATAGCATCAAATCAAATATTGATTTAATATAATATTGATTACGATTAATTTGATCACCTCCCAACATTTTAGTTATTTCTGTACCTTTGTTTATATTTTAATTTTTATCATGCCATATTGTAATTGAATAAATGAGCTTTTGAGCTCTCGTGTTTTAGCAGTCCCTTCTTGGCAGCTAACGCATTTTTCCAATTTCTGAACCCCGTTTGTCCAAATTCATCACTTGGATTACACAAGTATTTCCTACATGGAAAACAAAAGGCAGCGTCAGCTTCTACACTATACTCCAACCAGTCTCGGCCTCTATACCATGATTTTTGAAATGATCTTTGCCTTCCATGGATATCTTTTTTCGCGTAATTGTTTAATTTGATTTGATTTATTCTGGTCAAGGTCACCTGGGATTTGAATTGAACCATTAGAGGACTTTTTTGACACTAAAAATATTATAATTAATAAATTGTAATGAGGGAAAGGGTCATAAATAATAATGGTCATCAGGATGGGCGAAGGAAGTGCATGCTGAAAATGAACAAACACAAAATTTATCTTGTATTTAAGATACAAGTATTTGTTATACTGTAGTGCCCAACCCTGATGAAGATTATCAGTAAAGTTGATCAGTAAAATTATAGATATTCAGTATTAAAAACTAGAAAAAGGTCATAAACATTATATCTTTAAAGATTAACAAAAAATATAATATTTTTATATTTATAAATCAATTACTAGTTGCCTCTTGACAATGAGAGACTGAGCTGCTAGATGAAGATGATTGAGTCTCTTCTTAGTCTTTATTTGTTTTAAAATCAAAATGTAATAATGAAACACCATAATCTCCTACTCCTATTGATATTGTCAAAAATATATAAATAGAAAAATTTGGGTTAAATTTTAAACTATTTACCATCTTCCTCCTCCTGAGTGTAGTGAGGATCATTTTCTAGATTATTAGCTTCATTCATATCTTGAAATATGAGTGAATATATTTATTTTAATAATTAAAATTATTATACAAAAGTTATAATATTAGTAATAAATGTCTGTCTCTTATCTTATATAAAATAAATATATATGAAATAATAATATAAGGTATTGCCCTATATCAATATCATTTAAGTCATGAAATAATAATATAAGTTTATACTAACTATGAGAAGAATCAGTTTCTGAAATTTCTGATGATGTATTACTAGTAGTTTATAGAGGTGATGTTGCTTGACATTTGTTTTACTTTAACTTAAAATAAGAGTTAAAAACTGATTGTTTCTTCATAATTTTAAAATAAACGCTGTAAAATAAAATAACTGGTTATATATTATAATATAAATGTGATACCTATAGAGAATGTTATACACAACAAAAACAAATGAAAAAAAATGAATGAATGATAATTTAATATTGGGTAAAAAATAAAACAGGATAGAAAAAAATTTACAAACTAGACATGTTTGTAGAATAAATTATTAAAATTTTTTTTAAAAATATAAAAATAATCAATTCTAAAAAAAATTTTCAAATTTGGGGGGGAGGCCAGAAAATCTTTTGGGGGCCAAAGATTTTTTCTAGGGGCCACTTTTGAGGGCCAAAGATTTTTTCTGGGGGCCAGGTTTGGGGGCCAAAAAATTTTTTGGGCCCCCCCCCGTGGCTACGGCCCTGTCTAAATATATTTGGTAGTGCCGATCCAATTGAAAAATAAACAAAAACAAAATTTATAGGTAATACTTTAAAATAGTAAGCATCATTAACCGATTTGCAAATGTTGAATGGAGAAAATAAATGGGATAATGAAGGCAACTTCGTAAAAGTAGATTGTCCTGGGCAGGTCTGGAAAATAAGAAAGTTTGACGGCTGTTACATGTTCAGTGGTTCTGAAGACTTTGAGAATTGAACGACTTAGAGCTTATGAAATCTATTACACAAAATAAATTTACTGAGGATTGACAAAAAAGTGTAATTATTCCAGAATACAGAGGGAAATGTGAACTTTTAGTTTGCGTGTGTTATAGAAATTACTCTTAAAACATGCTATTAAGGTATTTGAAAGTGTTAGAGAAACGGTTAAGATGCAATTTACGTAGAGACAAGTATAGAAAAATATCTTGCAAAGGGAAAAAAAGTATGTTATGTGCTGGTTGACCTGGATAAGAGGTTTAATAGGATAATACGTGAGGTAACTAGTTGCGCCTTGAGAAAATCAGGTGAAGAATTACTATCTACGGCAGTGATGTCAAGGTATGTGAGAGCACAAACAGCAGTCTCGATGGATAGTAAAGATTTGAAATTAAGGCAGCACTTCACCGAGAATAGGTGCTTAATAGAAAAATATAAATCGTGACCAATCTATTTAACTTTCAAATCCTCACTAACTGTGACAGTTTATTATTTATCTTAGTAATGGACATGGCTAGAGATGCATGAAGGACTAACGTAAGAGCTATATGACAAACAGCGTGGAAGTAAGCGAGAGGGGCAGGGGGATAAAATTATTGGATGAAAGGTCGTTATAGAAGCAGTTTTAAAATGAATATAGAACAGAGTTGATGATTGATGGGGACATTCTGAAGGTAAAGTAATCCAGCAATTAACCATGTTCTAGAAGGATTCCAATATACCAGATGTCAGAGGGTGAGTGAAAAATATAATTGGGAAAAGGGAATACGATGATAACAAAGGTGACTTTTATTTGTAGAACATACGAAGGTCCCATAATAATTATAAAATAGTGGTTTGGATATCAGTAATGTATCAACACTGGTAAAAGTTTTTTTAGTTGAGTGATGTGCTAAATTCAGATAGTGGTGTTGATTCTGCTGTTGTTGCAAGGGTCAGATATGCTTGATAGATTCAGAAATGTCGTCTAATGCAACAAATAAAGCCTCTCTATGAGGTTGAAAGGAAAAGTATATGTAAGCTATGAAAAGTTGCATAGTTTATGGTGGTGAAACATGTGCAATAAGTGCCTCACGAAGCCAGATTGTAGAAAATGGTTAGATATATGTGGGGGTATCGTTGAGATAGAGAAGCAAGGAATTGCGAGCAAGGATGGTAATAGAAGTGATTAGTGGTAATGAGAAGAAATTGACTGAAGTGGTTAGCATGTGGAGCGAAAAATGACTGGATAAAGAGATACAATTTGATGGAAATAGGAGGATCAAGGCTTCGAGGAAGGTTCAAGGGTCCTTGGTAATAATATTTTATTATTGGATTTAATACTTTTGAAAATTAGTAATGATTAGTAAGGCATGATTTTTTTTAAGGAGCCGCAATTGTTATCATATGGAAATTTTTTAAAATGTTTTCTTTTTATTTCATCGATTAAACAGGATTTATTTAATATTTGGAAATTGTTAAAGTTCTTTTCTCTAAAGGGATTTTGGTAGTTCATCATTTTAGTCGTAGAAATATCTTTATTACAAAAAAACGTTTTTTTCTTATCTTGGAATTGGCACTAATTTTCCATAGTTTATTATTTTATTTAAAAAAATTAAGTGCTGTTCTTTTATTCATTTAGCCTTTAAGGTAATGATGTGGATAACTCACAAAATATTATCCCACAATAGACTAATAAAATTAAAAGCACAGCTGAGAATGGAATGAATTAAGATATACGTTTATTTCGCTTTAAAAACTCGATTGCTTTTTAAATAAATATTAGACATACACAAAAAATAATACTAAAATATACAACATAAAAGGTAAATCGTTACTTTTCAAATAGTAAACTACCTGATTTTTTGTAAAAATAAAAGATAAGGTAACGCTATTAGTAGGCACTTTATACATATCAAATATTAATCAATTATACATTACATTTATTCTGGGTCCAGTTGAATCGAATATCCAAAAATAATAAATTAAATTTACATATTACGAATTTTTAAGGATTAATTTGACCTATAACATTAGTCTAATTATTCAAGAATCAAAATTGTAAACCATCATTTATAATCGAACAAGAATAATCAAAAAAATGCATGGTGTTGTGTTAGCGGATTTAATTATTTTTAGATATTTTATACAAAATGATTATCTACACATTTATCGTCAAAATTTTTTTTTTCAGAAAAAAATCATATTTTGGTTATTTGACTAGTCATATTTTTTTGTCCATAAAATAATAAAATTAGATTAGATATAGAACTGGAATAAAAACACTAAAGTTATAAATTTGAAGAGCTACGACTCACTTCAAATCAAAATAAGTTTGAAATAAGGTTATTTCGCCTTAAATAATAACTTAAATGTAAGATTAGATAAATTGAGAATTTCAAAAGGATTAAAAAAAACTTGGGCACAATTAGATTTCCTTATCTTCTAACGTGTTACAAAAAAAAATCAATAATCTCATTCAAATTTATAAATTTTTGAACATGAACTATTTTTTCTTCTCTCTATATATCCTTCAACTTTCGTCTTCTTCATCTTCGTTTCCTTCCTCTACCACTTCGTACTCGTTAAAGTATACGGACGAATTTTCGTTACGCCTTGGCGTACGCCTACCGTACCTGCTGTTGTTACAATTCAGTAGCCTGTTAGATCTTCGTCGGGCTTGACTGGATGTTGTGTTTCTATTCGCTGTTTTCAATTGTATAAAAGGATATGAAATATTTATGATAAAAAATAATAAAGGAACTCGTTTAAAAATTAATTAGAAACCCATGAGCGAAATAAAATGTCCAACCAATCTCCAAACATAGTTCTAAATCTTACAATAAAAAAATGTGAGAATACTTATTTTATAAAAAATTTCAAAAAAAAAATAATTGCCAGAAGAAGGGATAAGGTCGGCCGTAGTCGCAATTATAATGGTACCACTGTCGCCCCTTCTCCTCCGTCTGTTTCCTCTATTTGATGCGGTGCTTGTGGAGGTATTGGTAGAATTCCTAGTTCTAGGGGTTCTGCTTGTAGTAGTGGAAGAATCATTTTGGTTTAATGAGTTGATAGTGGTTGTAAGGTCTTTAATTTATTTAGGAATGAAAAAAAAATTTTCTTTTTGAAAATGAAATACTACTGCAAATCTTGGGAAAAGATTATATGATTTTTAGATTAACGAGTTAAACAGATAAATATTGAGTAAGCGATCAAATAAACATTTGGTATATTAAATTTACTTAAAAAAACTAACAAAATATTTATTTATATATTTTCAATTAAATAAGCGTGATTGTTATTACTTTCGGAAGTGGAAGTGATGATTGTAGTATTAACAGGATTATCAATCGAGGTTCCAACTTGATTAGTTGTATTATTATTGTTCCCTATAAGGCGATAAGAAATATAAATTTAAAAAAATAATAAATTAAATAAATTTTGTTTTTTTAATCAGTAAAATAAAAGTTAAATATTATGTCTTATTTTTAAAAACACAATAAGCACATTCTCTAAATATGAAATATGAGTATTATATTGATTTCAGAATATTCCACGAATATAATATAATTTTTAAAAAAAACGTTTTTTTTGTCTCCTTATTCTGGAGTATTTTTAATATTATTTTTACTTTAGTCCAAAGAATTTTTAATTTTAAATTAGAAGATTTTTTTAAAAACTCGTCGCCATATATTATACCTTCAAGTTTCCATTTTAAAATGAATGCATTTCTATTAACTATAATATATTGTGTTTTAATATAGGAACTAGTGATATATATTTTAGTAATAATTGCATATATATATACTGAAATATTGCTGTAAACATTTCTAAAAAAATCGATCGCGTCCAACGTTCATTGACATTTATCGAACGCGTTCACGTTCACTTTCAAAAAAAGGAACGCGTTCACGTTCGTTCGATAAATTTTTTTTAAAATTTAATTTCATATAAGTATATGTCTTATATTTTTTAACACAATATATTAGCCAGGTTAATAATAATATAGTTTTATCTTGATGATATAATTATAAATACAATATAATATAGCGAATAAAAAGACATTTTTATTTATAAAAAATTTTTCTTATCAATTGTTTTAAAAATTTTCATCTGATAGACAGGAAAGCTTGGCAGTTACTACGGTATTAGCTATACTAAAAACACGCTCTACAGGGGCAGATCAGGGGATTGCGATATTATACTTAATAAACAACTCTTTTAACGTGGGGAATTTATTAAAAACATTTATTGTTTTGTCCTTTGCTTCAAAAAATTGAGCTAAGTTATCCTCATCCAATCCATCCTCTACTTCTTCGCCATATCTCGAAATTAGTAGTTCTTGCATTATCATTTCTAGGGTTTTCTCAATGCATTTTTTCAATAACGCCATAAGTTTATTTTTTATAGGTTCGTTCTGTGGAAGTTATATCCATGGCCATTAAAGCCTGAATACTGGATGTATAATTGGAGAAAGAACTTATTGATCTTAATATATATGTTCAGATCTTAAAAAAAAATAAAATATATGTATTATTAATTTGATATCGATAGGATTAATACTTTTTATTCATCCCATTTAATACTTCGTCTATCAATGTTTGATCATATTTTAGGCAACTAATTTTTTTTTTAATTTTTGTTGGCGTCAAGTAACCCAAATGCATTTTTTCTTCAAATTTAATGATTTTATTTAGTTATATTATATTATATTATATTAAATAATTAATATTAGAATCAAATGTCGTTTTAAATTGGAACTTGAAGATTTTGAAACATATAATTTTTGGGCACATTTTACATTACAGAGCCCCAGAGCCAGGAGGTTGATGCCGCCGACGAGATGGGAGACAAACAAGGTGCAATGTTTCCAGTGCAGCGTGGAGGAACATGTGAGAAGGGATTGCCGCAGATGAATGTGCCTCGGAGGAGGCAAATAAATATGGAAAGGGGGGAAGCAATTGTGGAAGTATAGCCGACGCCGAGAAGACCAGAAACGTTGGGGATGCCGGCAACATCGCGACAGAGGCTCCTTTGATCTTAGAAGTTCCGGGATGGCAAGCTTTACTCATGAAGAGTTTTTGGAGTTGGGGGTAGCCGCACAAGAATTGGATGAGTTGTTCAGAACATAGGGATCAGAGAGTAAAGACCCTTACCCCTCTAATGAGGAACTTTGGAGTGGGGAAGGGTGGAGATGTCGTAATGGGCGTTTTTTTAAATTATTATTGTATTGGTATATATTTTGATTATTTGTAAATTCATTGTATTTTTATTACGTGTATCAATTTGGTTTGCAACTCAGACGCTTTGATGTGAAGTTAAAATATAAGACTCAGAATGAGTCAGGTTTTTTTTATATTTTGAAAGAATTTTTGTAAAAAATTCTTGTATTTTTTTTCTTTTGCTTTTCTGAAAATTTTTTAAAATAAAATTTAAAAAAAATAAGTTTAATTTGGATTTTTTTGTAATTAGTAAAGTCCATAAAGTTATTTGTTTAAACTCAATAATGTGAATAAGTGATTTGCCAAAGAATAGAATAAGGCACAACGCAATAATTTACACCAGATGATTTAGGTTTATAATACAAATTAAAAATATAAATTTCAAAATTAAATAATAAATTATATTTAAATTTTCATGTTTATAGTTACATTTATTTATAAAAAGTAGCTGAGTCTACTTTCAAAAAAGGAGCGTGCTATTAGCTATAGTAGGACACTACAAACTCTGATATTGTATATAGGCAAGGTAAATTAACAAAAATATTTTGATTTAATATGTGTAAATGTGAATTTATATATAAAAAGGAATAATGGAAAGAGCCATTATGTAATATTAGAATATTCTTAATTTTAAAATTTTTTGGAGGTTATATAAATAGATTTTGATATTATTTTAGATCCAAGGAAAGGGGGAAAGTAGTCCATCTTATAATAAAAGGTCTCATGTGGAAGATCAGAAATTTTGTGTTTAATATCTGAAATTTAAGATTACAACTGACTAGGAAGAAGTGTATCTGGGATAATGTTAAAAGGAAAGATTAAGGAATACATTTGGATATAATTTTTTTTTTAAAGAAAACATTTGACTAACTTATTTATTGGAAATATTCTGTCCAGTCAACTATAATGATGCTGGGTTAATGACACCAAGCCTAAGATAGAATGATCATGACTGACCAAGATGCCATGGAACAATCAAGCTATGATCCACTAACCGTTAAGATTTAATGATAATCAACACAATGACAATTATATATGGTCGAGAAAAAGAATATGGAGCTTCCTGGAACAGAAAAAGAAAATTAAAAATAATAATTTTTAGATTGGATACATGTACGTAAATTGTATTTCTTCACCCCAGGTTGATTTCTTTAAAAAAAGGGAGCGTGTTGTATTTGTCAATTTGTAATTGACATATATCGACGTTTTTTCAATATATTTTCTAGAAGATGATTATTGTTTTTTTAATTATTATTGTCGGACATTTTTTTAAAGTATGTTATTATTATGGAATAATGCAAAAAAATTTTTAAATGGAAAAAAATTGGAATAGAACATTATAAAACTCAGTTGACTGTATATATAAACTTATTCGAGACTATTGCCCAGTTAGATCCTTTTGATAAAGCGATAAATAAAATTATTAGATTGGCAACAGACGTCATGGATCTTCAATTAACATTAATTAATTACAACTGAAAATTCATAAGTGTACATACATTGAAATCAGTTGTAGTCACTGTCATTAGTTGTATAATAAACACCATTGAAGGGCTTTTCGTTTAAACTTCAATGGGATTTGTGCATCTTTATATTTCTAATGATTATAATATGCATTGGGTACATTTAAAATTTAAAATAAAAACAGTATTGAACCCTGTTCTGGGTAAACCGCGTCTGCCATGTTGTAGAGGGTACTGCTGGCCGATGTAGTAGTCGTCATATTACTTCGCGGTCTTCGCTCACGTCTGCGCAAGCGCGTTCGTCTTCGCCTCGAGCTGCTGCCTGGAGAACGCGCGTGAGCAGTAGCTTCAATATTAACAGCATTTTCGCGTGCGGAAGAAGAATCAACGGTTGGTATGTGAGACGAAGAACTAGACGAAGAATCAGTCGAGTCTGTATGATGTTATCAATTTTTTTAAAAAATATGTCTAAGAAATATTCATATTTCTTCCATATGATTTGCTAACAAAAAGATATATACTCTTATTTTCTTGCTTTTTTTTTAGTAAAGGTCACATCGGACCGATAAGAATAAATCAACTCCGTTTAGTTTCTAAAATCGATCCTTAATTTTTTTGAAGAGGAGGGGGTATGACTGGCCACGGTTAACTTTTACATCATACACTATAATAGAATGCTTTTTTAAGTTACTTATAAACTACCTTATTAATACATGTGACATTATTTGTGAACTTATATTCCAAGAAATAAAATAATATCCATTTACCAAATATTTTTATTACTATTAATTAAAATAGAAATTTAGAAGGATTTTTTTAATTAAATAAATATCATCATTATATCATTTTTGTAGAAGCAGAACAAGAATTTAAAGTTAATAAATATAAAAGTGGCAAATCTCGTACATATTTCAGGACCGTTATAGAAATAATACTTTTAATTTAAAAAAAAATTTATCATTAATTTACCAGAATCAGAGTCGGAATTTGATAATTCCGTCATCGTGAAATCTCCGTATTCATCTTCCTCGCTTGACATTCCCGATTCTATATCTGGCTCTGCTTCCGTTTCCTCCTCTTCCACCTTTAAAAATTTGGGGAAAATATGCATATAAAATTTGTATATATCATAAATCGATAAGAGAGATCAATCACTTGTAATTTCCATTAGAAGTGGGCGTGGGCCTATTCACAGCCCGTCTTATCACGGTGGCAATATTCACGCTTACAACTAAAAAAAATTTGACTCGACCCACTAAAGACAATATTTTGATCACGCCCGAAAATTCAGGGTGTTATTAATTTTTTATAAATTTTATTGCCTTTTTGAATATATTCTATCATATTTTTTCATTTCTCTAATTTCATATTAATACAAATTATAATTTATAAATCAAAATTTTTATTTAGAAAAGGAATAATGTCCATGTTTATTTATTCAATTGTGTTCACCTTTAATAAGCGATTGGTTATAGAAAATAATCTTTCACTAGAAGCTTAACTTGCCAGGGCTGACAAAATTTTAATAGCTAATTGTCTCAAAAAAAAAATTCTTTTGCTTCCAATAATTCAAAATATTGTCCTTGTTATTTGTTTTATGAATAAATCTACTTTTATCCTTAGATATTGATGCTACATCAGAATCATCTAGAAATTCTCTAAATATTTCAATGATAGTTGGCATTGACTTATATTATCTAATTATAACATTATGCATTTTTAAGGTTGTTCTATTTCCTTTTCATCGTCTATTAAAAACTTAAGACTATTGAAATTCGGATCTGGAATTAAGCCTACTTTATGTAGTGGCTGCATATTAATTCTTTCCTTTAGAATAAATATTGTCCCATCTTCAGAATGTAAATTTTACTAATTTTTGTTTCCATAGATATACTTCATTTATTGTGTGACGAGAATCTGAGCTCAAATTATCCGAGCATTCTTTGTTTATTGATAAAAATTTTAGTATAGATAATTGAAAATAAAACATATTTAAATTAAATTTATTTATTACCGAATTTCTATTTTTGAACGAGAGTGGGAAGATTTATTATTCTTCATTCAATTGAAATTTTATATAAAGGGGGAAAAAATGTTATTTATAAAATTGCAGTTTTTTTTTGTTTTCAAAAATTATTTTTTTTTAAAAATAACTAAATTAGATTAGAAAATATATATATATTACAATTAGGAAATTGCAAATTTATATTCGTAAAAAACATTTTTAAACATTAAAATCTTAAATCAAGGGAAATTTATGTTCACGCCCAATAATTCCATGCAAATATTATGGGAAGGCCTGTCACGCGTAATAATTTAAAATTTATTCGCACTCACGTCGTGACCCATCGTGTCACGCGTAATTTTAAGGCACACAACCTCTAATTTCAATCATTAGTAGGCATAAATGTTTGCTAAAGTGAGGGCGGTTTCAACTCTATTTTCTTTCTTGTCTATATCTAAGTTAGGATTACCAAAAAATAGATAAGCTTTTTGAAAAATAACTGTCTCGAGGCGTCAGTAGTTTTAGGATAAATAACTTAGCTATGAGTCATTTTTCAAAGAGAGATCTTAAGTCATTATCTAACCTTTTAATAAAATTCGAATTTCTAAGAGCTTTCTTGCCACTTCCCTATAATATACATTTATTCTATCAAAGAATATCGTTATCAGTCAGTATCGCTGATATTTTCAATTTTAATCAATATCAGCTGTTTTATAAAAATGTAACATAATATTTCTCATAGATTGGAATCATAATTATAAAAAATATATTATAAACGCTATCATCAACGAGGGGTTTATTAAAGCCCTCACGATTATCTTCTCTTTCTCAAAATAAAAAGAAGGAAATAAAGGTTTAGAACCTCTCTGAGAAGCGGATCTTTAGATCGTCCTATTTCGTATATCCGGCATACGCGTCGATCTTCGAAATCGTCATTGAGCAGAGCACCGAAAACATTGTTAGAGGTAGGATTCAAGTGATGAAAGGTGTTAGAAGCAGGATTTGTCGGATTATTGTTAATGTTACCTGCACCCGGACCAAGACCAGATCCGGTATTTATGTTTCTTTACATATTTTTAAAAAAAAAGAATTGTGATGATTGATTATTTACAAATTATCAAACCTCTAGAGAGATAAAAAAAATTAACAAACAGTTTAAACCTTCATCATAAATCTATAAAGTAATTAATGATAAAAAAATGATGAGGGATGGGGGTTACTTCTTACCCAATATTCGTATCCCTGAAAAGAGAGTCCCCTTCAACTATAGCTAAATATCTATCGCTAGATTCAGGGCACATATCATACATGAGACGACGTATGTCCACCGTAGCGATTTGATTATTGTTATCGGTATTAGAATCCAAAATTTTGATTGAAGTGTCATAACGAGAAGCGGACAGTATACCTTGATCAGAATTAAGCCTATCCTCATCCATGATGTCGAGATATCTCACTATTTATTTTGGTAAATCATTTCATAATTAACATTAAAAGAATTATTGAATAAAAATTGGAAAAATATTTCTTTAATGAAGGATTGCCTGATATCATGAATTGGTAGTGATTAGGGCTGTGCTGATATTAAATATCGAATTGGGCCGATATTATTTAAAAAACTGATCCAATATTTTTATTGTTTTGGGTTATTTTATGAATTTATATATATAATTATTTCATTTTTTATTTTATTAATAATTATAATAATAAATTTATGAATATTTGTTCCAATGCTTAAAATAAATGGTTAAAAATTTTACACTATTTTTTGTTATATTATCTGCAATAAGAAAAGGACTTTAAAATATCTACGAGTCACATTCGGCTATGCAACATTTAAAAAAGGTTAACTCAAGATTTTGACCAAAATTAAATTACTCAAGCTTATTTTTGCCTTCTGATGGCAGAAAGGTTTGGATTTATATTTGAAATTTAAAGCTCACATATTAATATTTTAGTTAAAATCATTATTTGGCAAATTTCAAAAATCGGTTAAATGGAATGGAACATTTAGCAAAACACTACATTCACCTGTAAACATTGCAAAAAAAACCCAAAATACGCTTAATCATTCGTTAAAGTTAAATAACATAGATATTTTCATGACATTGGGTAAAAGATATAAAAATCAATATAAATATCGGAATGTTATCGGGATCGGTTTTTTATAATATCTGAAAATATAGGATAGGTATAAAATTTGTGGATCGGCATATACTAGTGAGTCTCCAGTTTTTTAAAAAAAAAATACATCATTAAACTCTGAAGTATCCAATTTGTATTTTTTGTTAAACTCTTAAATTTTAAAACAAAGTATAATTTATTAATTATTTGATAAGATTAAACAAGTCATTAGGGTATGCAACCGGTATGGTAATGCAAGTTACTGCCAACTCAACATATAGCAATTTTATAAACAACAACTAATTATATTAAAAAATGTAATAAAATCCATTATTATATACTATATATATATTAAAAAATATAATCATGCGATAGCCTTCTATTTTCTATATATCATCCCCCTATTACCTAGCTGACTTAAGCAAAATAAAACATGGTCCTTGTTGAATGAACACGGAAATATCGTAATAGTAATCCTTGCACCTAGGCCCACATCATTGTTAAACGGCTCGTTTTGAGCTTCAATATTTTAAATAATAAATATTGCCTAAACTTCGAGATTTTTCTAATAGATGTCTAAACCTTTGTGCCATCCTTAAGCAAAATCTTCAGGCATGCGCAATATTTTTCTGAATAAAACATTGAGTTAGCCATTTTAAAGAATCGGCTCAAATGAAAGCCGTTTAACAACACTACCAGAGGCGCTCTCCGAAAAAGATGATTTTTTTAAAAAAAATATATATATTATAACCATATGTATCGATCCAAACAAAAAAATATATAAAAATACCAATTCGTTCAATACTGCCTTTGGTAGTAACTAACAATAACAGAATCCGCGGGTATTTGGAATTCTTCAATTTTTAAAATCATTTTACTGAAGGCAATTTAAAAATCAAATTTAAGAGGAAATAATACCGCTATGACTAGAGTACTTACCTAATAAATTTCATAATTTTTAGCTAAGAACTTAAATCTATATAAAAATAAAGAGTTCATGACAAACATTGTTCGAAATTCAGTGTGGGTTACACTATACCCAATGATGTTTATATATATACATATAAACTACTAGATTGGTAATTCATTAATTAAAATTGTTCCTATATAGGAGTCAGATATAAATGCACATTAATGTCATTTGATTAACGCGCAAACCACGAAATGGCGCTAGACCTGACTCCTATGTATGGAAATTTTTAAATGCATTTCATAAATGAATCGCCAATCTAGTAATATATAAATCATTGACTACACTGGAATACAATTCCAGTTAAATCATTTTTTAAAAAAAATAATAATGACCAAATAAATGATTTAAAATTGAGAAATTGTGAATCCCCATCGATATCATCCTAATACGATATCCAATATTAATATCAAGTCACAGTCACGCAATGTGAATTGACAACTTATAGGTTGAATTTTTAATTATTAAAAAAAGTTAAAATACCTTCTCAGCCTGCATTCTAATTAATTCATCAAAAATTAATTATGTAAACTTAGAAAATGATAATTAAGCCCACCATCATAATTGAAAAGTCAAAAAAATTAATCTAAATTCATAATTATTTTATACAAATTATTTTAAAAAACAGGTGAAAAAATTTTGACATTACTTCCGTAAATAATTTCGTTAGTAGGGTTAAAGGTTAGCCTGCATTGGTCCAAGGATGGTATTGTTTTCAATAGTTTGTAAGTTCTTAAATCCCACTATATAAAAGGTAGATTATCAAAATTGGTATGTTAAAAAGGATACAAAATCTCAAGTTATTAATTTCAATGTAAAAAACAAGCTTATTTATTAAACTGTTAAAATTCTAAGTGAAGTGGAAACTATTTTTTTTTAAAAATGCCATTTATAAAATTTATCTATTAAAAATAATAATGAGAAAATTTTATAAAATCAAATTATTCCTAATTATCAATGTAAATCTCATTCTTAAGCAGAGATCTTAATTCATAATAATCTACTTAATAGTATTTTATTAGTTAAGATCAATGGTCCGATCTTTTATATTTAGGACAGTGGTAGGTACCCGATAGTAATCTTTACTATTTTATGAATTTATAACAAAATATATTATAACGGATATTAATTTATTCGCCATTTTGTTTGATAAACCACATTTTTATTGACCAATATAATGGAAAACTTTCGATTAATATTTCAACAGAAAAAATATAAAACAACTCCAATTATTAAATTCGATTGAATATGTTTTAATTCCCCTTTTATTTCCAAATTACAAGAAATAATACCCTTTAATTAGTGAGAAATGATTTTACAAAAATTGATGTGTTAAAGAGGAAACTCTCTAGATACATTAGGTAAATGATGCTGACTGAGACCACCATTATGACTAAAATACAAAATTATTCAATTCTATGATAGATACAATTTATTTATTTTGACTAAAAGGGTTGCACCACTTCCATAATATTTTAATGATCGATTGCATCGTACCTCCAGTGTTAAAGGATCCTGGGGTTAAAAAAAAGAAAGAATATGGTTTTGGGGAGAAAAAAGAAAGTGAAAGAGGTTTGGGTAGAGAGGCGCCATGGTGTTGAAAGAGGTTTGGGTAGAGAGGTGCCATTGTGTTGAAAGAAGGGGGTGGAAGTCAGAACGGAGATCAACAAAGGCATACTGAGTGAAGGAATGGGTTTCATCAATAAGATTGTGGAAAATGAAGAAAGGGGGATTTCCGGGTAGAGAGGGCGAACTGGCCCACCTAATTAGAAAGTTTAGTGAACTCACAATTTCGCTATTAATGACGACTTCGTAACCGTTTGGATGAAAAAGGCCCGATATATTAGGGTTAAGCTTATCGAATTTGTGAATCCAGTGACCAGTCTCGGCATCCCACAATATGCCATCAGAAAGAATCCGCTCGTCGTTCGGAGAAAATACGGCCCGGTTTTTGGTGTAAGAATTCGAAAGGGAAGCTTCGTAAAAGGTTGTCAACTTGAGACCCGTTTCTATGTCGTAGAGCTAAGTTGTTTTAAAAAGTCGGAAAAATGAATGAATTAATTAATTTTATATATAAATACTTTGTTTCTCATTGGTAAAATTGACTTTCCCTTATTATAGATGTTCATTTTTAATCATAAATTAATGTTTGATTGGACTATATACAATGATAATAAATTTATTACAATCTTTAAACCTTGAGTTAACTATAGTCTGTATAATTACGTATGGTTGTGTAATTACTATATTTTTAGCCAGAACACTAAAAATTTAGGATTTATTTAATAAATTTCTCTTACTTCTTTATACACCCTATTATTTTTAACACAATTATTCTAATTGGGTAAACCTTAGCCAAAAACTATCACTTTGGCCTAGGGGTTTTTTCTTTAAATATAGCAGCTCAAATTTAAAAATTATTTATCTGATTAAAACGCCTCAATGCTAAATTATTTTTTCCAGCACCAGCCTGTAGATTGAGGCCGAATTAGCCAACATTTAGCCATCCAAAAAATATTGATAAACCTAATAATAGCATTTTCATTGTTTAATTTATTCAAAACCTGGTTAAACTATATTTACGATATCAAAAATCGATAAGAAAATAAATAATGGAGAAACTTATACCCGCTGAACACTGTTTTAAATTCCCCATAAAAAACAATATTATACTCTTATAGCTCCTCTTGTTCTTTCAACCATATTATTCTAATTCTTTCAAAAGCAAAAAAAAATATGACAAGTTAAGTTACCCACCAATGCTTTATCACTATCTGTCCCTAGAATTCTGTAAGGTTTAGAACCCATATTATTGAACACTGGATATTCCAAATCTTGGAACCGGTGCTTAGGCTTGAGAAAATGAGTGGTGGCGGCGATCGAATTGGTATTAGTAGTAGAAGGGTCCGTCAGAACCCAAAGGTAGGAAGTGTGTTGCCAACTGCGATACGTGTGAGTTAAAACCACTTGTCCTCCATGATTGCTGTTATAAAAAATTATAATTTCAAATGACCTTGCATAAAAAACGTTTTTATTTAAAAAAGTAATAAAGCAAAACAATCGAACTTTTAATGTTTATGGCTAGGTCGTAGTGTGTCTTAATTTTAGTTCTTATTTAATAGATATATCTATTCAGAAAAGCAGCAATGACACCCCTTTTGCAGGGTTATGCCTATATTATATAACGGATAGGCACCGATATTTCTTAAAAACCCGATTCGATATTTTTTATTGTTTTTTGCTTACTTTATGGTGATATACAGGTTTACCCACACAGGAATTTCATAATAATATATTAATGAAAGGAACAAATACATTTTTTGTTGTAATGTTTTAAAAAATAGTTTAAAATTTCACACTATTTTTTGTTATATTATTTGCAACAAGAAAAGGATTTTAAAATATCTAACGAGTCCATTCAGCTAGTATTGCTAAACGGCTCGATTTAGCCAATTTTAAAAATAGTTAACTCAAGATTTTGGCCAAAAGTTACTCAAGCTTAATTTGCTCAACTATAACAGAAAGGTTGATTCTATTAGCGAAATTTCGAGGCTTAGGTAATATTATTTTGGCTAAAATTTGATTTAGCTTTTTCTAAAAATCACTAAATTGGGCTTTTTAACAACACTACATTCACCCCATAAACTTTACAAATATTTTTAATGAGATTATTAGCTTTTGGAGAATACAAAAATTAAAATACACTTAAAATTCGTGAAAGTTAGTTGTTGTTTTTAAATAGAAAATATTCATATTTTTATGAAATTTGTAGATAAATTCGATGGTCGCCTAAAACATTCTTTTCTATAATTCTATATTTTACTTAAGATGGGTGACAAATTTAGTAGCCGAAAAATTTATTTCATAGTTAATTAATGCAATAAATAAAATTCCAAAATGAATAAAAAGTTTATTATGTAAAATCAATAAGTAGAGAAATCTCATTATACAAAATAGTAAGTAGGAGAATATAAATATGATTCAAATTCTTCTATTTCAACTTAAAACATCATATTTATTAATTAACTTTGCCTTGACATTTTGCTACAAATACTTTTTGAATATTATTTAAGCAGTTTAATTAAGTAAAAATTGTAAAATTGTTAGAATATTAATTTTATTTTATCAATTTTTTTTTTGATTTTATATATGTAACACTTACTAAAAAAATAAAATAAATAAACAATACTCAAATATATATTTCAAGCTTTTCCTAGAGGACTGATTTGGATTAGATTAGGTCAAACGAGAAAAAAATTATTTCTTCTGCAGGAGAGGAAATTGCTACATAAAGTGTCAATTGAAGATTATAATAATTTTTATATTATCAACAGCAAAGATCTTATTTTAAGATCTTCACCACTCAAGATTCGAGACATTATTAAATATGGAAGGCGATAACATTATTTATTGATTATTAGCACCAGGTGTTACAATTATAGTTTATCTAATAAGTTCGATAATTTTATTGCAATAAATCCAAGCATTTTATGATTTAAATTAGTATCTTTAGAAGATCTTTTGAGGCTGATATTTATCACTTTATGGTAAATTATGTTTTCCATCTTTTTTGGGTTTCTTCATAAATATTTAATCTTATTTGTAAATCCCTAAGTTTAAAGCTTTGGTAATATAAAATCCAACCTTTTTTATCTGATTAAAATTTTTTTAAATCCCAATTAAATCTAAAAAAATCAAATGATTTAAATAAATACGCTTGATCGTAAGTAAACTATTAAACATTACTTGGCAGGTGAAGCGGCATTGTAGCTGCTACTATTTTGATTGAACAATTGGGGCCAAATTTTGCACCAAAGTACAGGATCCCCAGGGTCAGGATCTGAGTCGGAATTATCAGCAGAGGTGGACAGACTGTATGTGCATTCTTCCAGACCGGTGTCAAGGTTATAGCATTTCAAGTCACCCGTCTCGGTTCCGATGAATAAGGTGTTTAGATTGTTCTGTTTTGTTATTAATTTTTTAAATTTAAAGACTGTTAAAATACTAAATATAAAAAAAGATAGAAAATGTGTTTATTTGTCCTAATTTATAGCTGAATATTTGCTCTATTTTTTAGCCGTTTTAAATGATTCTTGGCCCACTAACATATGGTGAATTCCAGAAAATTATCATATAAGCCGTTTCTTTTTTTAAAAAAATAGAGCTAAAAATTTAAAAACAAAAATAAATTAACTCGCTAACGGATTATCTATTGCAAATTTAGGCCAATTTTTACCTCCCCTCACAACTATAGTCCTAATACTTATCTCAAACCAAGTTTTCCAGAAAAAATGAATTGAATAATTTGATACTCATATTCGTACATTTATAAACTTATAATTTTTTGATCGTTTATTCAAATTTTAAAAAATTCTTTATATCAATTTTTATTCGGGGTTATGATTTAAACAATTTTTAAATAGGCACAAGTATAATGGATAAACATATTATTAGGACGAAATCAAGTTAGATTTATAAATTATAATTTTTTTAAAAAAAATCAATTTCCATTCTTTTAAAAAAAATAATAAAATGGATAATAAACTTTTTGAAAGGTGCAACAAGTAAACAAGGAGTCGTCTTCTGCATCTCTGATAACTTTGACACCTCGCATTCTACCATAAACGAATTTTTTGTTGAGCAATTTCCCGTCTAAACCTCCGTACAATGGATAGGTCTAATTTCGTTATAAGGAATGTAAAATAAAGAGAGATCAAAAAAAAATATAAATCATTTTAAGGAAATTTTGAAACACCTAAAAATTAATTTTAAAATATAGGTAGAAAAATAAAAAATAATTAGTAAATTATATTTTTAATAAGAATAGTGATAATAATAAATTCTTTTTTTAAAAAAAACAGTAAAAAAAATGTAATTTTATTTTTATCCCTATATATAATTAATTATAAAAAAAAATAGTCTTGTTAAATGACCGACTTGGGTCGATTTTAATAAACGACCCGATTAAGATTTTAGCTAAAATATGTAAGCTTCGATATTTTGCAAATAGAGGTCCAAAAATTTCTGCCATCGTTGAGCAAAATCTACAGACACATAATATTATCTTGGCTGAAATCTTAATTGGGCCGTTTTTAAAAATCGACTCAAATCGAGGTCGTTTAACAACACTAAAAAAATAATTGATACATGGACTAAGTCTTCGAAAGCAACAAGGACTAACCAAAAATTTAGCGAATATAAAAAACTAGGGGGCACCGTTTTTATGTTTGCAGAGAATGTAATAAGTGTGTGCTCCCCCTCTCATAGACTCCATTTTATTGATTTAAATAAAGGAGTCCTAGATTTTTTTCTATGTAAGCTGCAATACTATATCAGCAGTTTCTAACCTAAAGAGAATCAAATATAAGAACCGGAAATAATGAACAGACCCATTTTTTTAAAATAATCAAATCTAAGAACCTAGAACAAATTTTTAATAAATTTCCAGTTGTTAATTCCACATCAGTGGAAAATTTAGTGTTGTTAAACAGCCGGCTAACTCAATTTAGTGTTGTTAAACAGCCGGCTAACTCAATATTTTTGCTGGAAAAATTTACCTAAGCTTCTGCAAAATTAGGCCCGGCCCGTACCCGGCATGAACGGGCTTCTGGCCAGGTTTGGGCCTAATTATATTTAAAATAATCGGGTTTGGGCCGGGCATAATATTTTTTAAAAAAATCGAGCCGTGTCGTGTCGGACCTTGGGATTTTTTTTAAATATATCTAAATTTATCAATTTTATATTGAATTTTTTATGTAAAATAAAAATTTTTGATTTTATTTTTGAAACTAAACGCCATATAATATATGTCTTTTATTTTGAGTAATTATAAAAATTAATTTCTATATTTAAATAAATTCGGGCCAGGCCGGTTAAATTTTTTAAAAAATTCTCGGGTTTTGGCCGGCTAAACTTTTTTAAAAAAATTTCGGGTTCGGGCTGGCAAAACCATTTTAAAAAAAATTTCGGGTGGGCCGGGCTATAAAAATTAGGCCCGATGCAGATCACTAGCTCAAACCTTTGTGCCCATATATGAGAAAAATCTTAAGTCTTGCATAATATTTTTCTGAATAAAATATTGAATTTCGAGCCCTTTAACAACACTAGACAAATGAGTACTCATCTTTAAATATTCTATATTTTTTTAAATATTTTGATTATTCAAATAGGATTTTTTTTAAATTATAAAAACTGGAATTTGCGAATATCGTCTGGCGATATTAAATGGCGCGCATCTTCTATTCCTCGCTATTGGGCATTGATGGGGTAGCAGGAGAGAGAAAGGAGGACATATTGCCATGGGGTTTTGACAATGCGAATGTTGTTCCCTTAGGTATTCGGTCACGATATTTTCCAGTTTCACAGCAGTTTCGCTCAGTTTTTGTATGTTGTGGAGTTTCCTTGTAGAGATATAATAATATAAATATATCTGCAAGAAAAACGAATTTAAGAAGTAGCATAGCGAAAAAACACCTAAAATCAGGAGTTAAACGTTTCAAAAGAATACCCTTTAAAATATTTAAATAAATAGGGCTGTACCGATATTAAATATAGGATCGGCACCGATATTTAGCGTTTTCTAATAATATCGGATCGGGCCGATACTTGTAAAAAAACACCGGTCGGATCTTTTTACTTTTTTTTGTTATATATATATTTATATGGTTTATTTCATTATTATAATATATTTAAATGACTTTCTGAATTTATTTTTATAAATATTGAAAGATTCTAAATAATTTTTTATTTAGTTTTAAAACAATGGAAATGCAAAATACCCCCTCCCCCCCATTTATTTAATTTATTTAAATTGTAAATTAAAGAGAAACTAGAAACAAAAATAATTGAAATCGATAGTAATGTAGATGACCTGCCATACTTGAAAGAAATCAAGGAATATTTAAAATAATCTTTATATCTAGATGGTATAATTATACCTAAAACGAATTATTTGTTATTCGATTAGTATCTTACGAATACGAATAACACAATTATTCGATTAGAAAGTTCTCGAATAAAGAAAATATATTATTCATCGAATAACTTATTCGATAGAATTATTAGAGATAATTAAATAAAATAATTTATAGTATTAATAAATATTCGAAAATAATCATATATTATTAGTAGGAATTATTTGAAATTTTCCTATTACTAAAATTTCCTAGTGGAATAACGAAGAAACATTTTATATTTCTAAAATTGTTGTAAAAGTCTGTTTTTATTCGAATAACTTCATAATACAAAATTAACTTCCGAAAATTGTTTTATGATGGACGAAGAAAGTATTTATTATTATATGTAATTTATAACACATATACAATTATAATAAACTAGTAGCTATCCCGTCAAGAATGACAGGCGAACCAGATATTTCTCCTTCGTTTGATGAGGGAGAAATCATAAGACTTTTTGCCTAAAATTATTACCACTTTATTTGTAAAATATTGCTAGATGTGAGTTTTGCATACCTTATTTTAGATTGCATAGCTTTTGACGATTTATTATTTCCCTACAATTATTTGTTCATTTACACTCTATTAACGTTTTTTTAAATAATGGAAATTTGGTAACCATCTCTCATCAAAATAAAAATAAATTTTTGGTTCACATCTCATAAGATAGGCAAATTTCTAATTTATTCAACATTAAATAAAAGAGAAATATCTGATTTAATCATTCTATGGTTAATTAATGAATAATACTACACTATACTATTTCAAGTTTATAAATATTTTAAAAAAATTATTACTTTGACTTATATTATATATTATATTTTAGTTTAATAACATTAACCATAATTAAATGACAATGTATATTCTAAAATTAAAAACATGCCTTTTAATAATGAGATAAAAAATACTTCATAAATTTGGGGATAATTTATAAATTTTATAATGTAGTGTTTGTGATTAAAGTAGAGATCTGCAAAGTTAGGCCGTTCGGGCCATAATTCTATTTTAAAAAAATTTGGGTCCGGTCTGGTAGGACCTTGGAAATTTTTTTTAAATATATCTAAATTTATCAATTTTTTATTTTTAAAAATATTTGATTTTATTTATTGAAACTAAACGACATATAACATATGTCTTTTATTTTGAGTAATTATAAAAGTTAATTTCTGTATTTAAAAAATTTCAGGCCGGGTTGGGCTTGAAAAATTAGGCCCGAAGTAGATCACTAGATTAAAGATCGCCATTATCTCAGTAGGAATTTCTTATTGCCCAAAGAGAGACATATTATCAATACAAGGATCTTCAACCCCATGTGAGCGACTCTTTTCTGTTGGAGCGCATATGGTTACCAAATATAGAATTTCGTTAAAAGAGGATACAATCCGAAAAACTTTGTGTATAAAAAATTGGTGTTGTCAGATTGGTCTTCTACTTGATATGAATATTATATTGATTTTTCTACATTATATATAAATATACTATATATGTATGCTTCTATTTTATCTTACTAATAAAATTTGTTTGTCTTTTATCTAGTTAAATTTTAAAAAAATAAATTAATATTCGATCTTTTTTAATATGGCTAAATAAAATTTTCCAAATAATCATTTTATTATTCACATTATACGTAAAAAATAATGCAGATTCGATTCGTATTTTTTTTAGGTATTATAGGTATAATAACATATTTTATCTAGTATTGCTTGGTTGGATTATTATTGGCCCATTTGTTTGGGTGGCATCTTATTATTTTTCAAACCCATAAAAAGGTTGGGTTTGTATGAAACTCACTATTTTAAAAATGCTAATTTTATGTCTGATTTATACAAATAAAATTGATATTATATCCCATGTAGATCCAATTGACTATTGGAGAATTAATGCTGAAAATATCCAACTTTGTCAAAACTTGCATGTAAATTTTTGATCTGAGTCTATCTTAAGTATGACAGGGGATATAGATAATCCACATCGTAGAAGCTTATTGCCAGAAAATCTAGAGGCTCTCATATTTATTTAAAAAATCTAATATATTATAATTTCATATATTAAATATTACTAATTCATAAATAAAATGGACACATTATTAAATATATATTTTTTTGAAATAAAAATATTAAAATTAAATAAAATGCATAATTCAATTTTGCAAAGAAAATATAGATTTTTTAATTACATTTGGTTCAAAGGGGGGTGATAAAAAATCAATATAAATATCGGTTCGATATCGGATAGGTTTTGAACCAATATGGGATCAGATCAATGAAAAATATATGGATCGGCTCAGCCTTAAAAATAAACATTAAAAAACCTGAGAGCAGGACTCTGCTGGTAGAAAACGCTGTTACTCCTTTGCCAATTAGGCTTTTTGGGTTCCGATTGGTTCAAATTAGAATTGATCGTATTTAAAGAGGTACTAAAGTTGAGCTCAAGTGGCGGGGGCGATGACATGGAATGATGAAGTGGGTTGTTATGGATATTAAGGTTTTGACTATCTGTCGGATTCATTGGTTCGTGTATAGCATTGTTACTGTTATTAGAGGCATTACCCTTTTTAAATTTACTAGTACTATGAGGTTTATTTCCACCGGATATAGAGGAGTCATTCGAGACAAGCGAATTCTTGGATACAATCATTTTAAGCTTTTTGGTAGGTGAGGTACCACCAAAGCTTCTATCTACCACCTGCGATATTTCTCTCATTAAGTTTATACCGCTATTTGGGGTACTGTAATTATTTTTAAATTCTTGGAATCGATGATCAATACCGTTATTATCACTGCTATTTTTTTTATTCTTACACTTGCTTTTGCATTTAATGTCCTTTCTACTACCACCACTCTGTATTGAATTAGGCTTGCTTCCGACACCTTTGATGGGAGTGATACAAATTTCCCCAAAATTATTATGTTTATCTCTGAAATTGGTATTACTCTGAAACACTTTGTCATTTTTACTCTTCTTATAATGCGAAGCCAGCAGAAGAGAGTTGGTAGATGAAATAATAGGCGATTCTGTAGTATTCATACCATTATTTTCACTGTGAGAAGATGCGTTATAGCTAGGTTTAAGGGCAGGATAATTTTGAAAAGCTCTGTGTTTACAAGGTAACCCCCGAATCGTGAATATGGAAGTAGATTGATGATCGTGTTTGAAGGAATTGGCGATGGGAGTGTTTAATAGAGTCAATGTGCTATTGATAGAATTACCACTGTAAGTGTATATGTCGTCGTTATCTTAAATTTTAAGGTTAAAAAAAATATAGTATTTTCTTGTAATGTTATAAGGAGAGATTAACTTTTTTTAAAAAAGTAAAAGAAAGCTTAAACATTGTATATATTTTCTATTCCTAATATCCCATTTAAAAATCTATCATAAAACAAATACATATAAATGAGTTTTACAGGATTCTTTGCTGGAGAACAAGACATCCCTTGCTTCTTGGAAAAGAGCGGATGAGGCCGATTTAAAACCTTGTTCCATGAGGTAATTGTAAATGAGATGAAGTAGTTCTTTCTTACTGAACCTGATCTTGGTTTGGGCGACTACGTTGGCCCTGTACATTTGATCCAAAGATAGATGGGCCATTATTGAGGGTGATCTGTATTTTTTTTAGATATAAATTTGTTAATTGTAAATAAACATGGTTAAATTTTTTAACAAGTTTTCATCCCAACAGCAGTGTTAAAATGATAAATATGAAGTTTTACAAATACAATCTAATTAGGACCGATAAGATACAAATCTTCTCATATCCAAAAATAACCCAGGTTCAATAATTTGTCGGTAAATTTGTTCCTATTTGGTCTGTGTTCCCAAATATTTTTTTATTTTTTAGAGTATGTTATAATTTATGGTAATTTATAAATTTTATTTATAATAATCACCAAGGATTTAAACATGAACCTGATTATCCGCATTTTTTTTAGGTATGCATATATTATTTGAAATATACTTTTGTCCCTTGATGGTTTGTATGAGTTGCTTTGCATATTGACAAAATTGAAGATGAATTGAAAGGTTGTCTTGAAGAATGGGTTCCTTCATCAATTGTTGAAATTGTCCATTATTAAAAAGGGGTAACTTGGACATGATCTGAAGAACCGTATCGCTTTTCAGTAAGCCACAAAGAGCCTAAATGAATCGAGGAAGGGGGGGGGGTAAATGATATTAAATAATAAACATTAAACCAATTTATATCATAAAATAAGTCCTGCATTAGACCTCTTGGTGGGTTCTCTAAAGTTTCGTAAAAATGTCAGGAACCAACCTGTTCTTAGAAGAGGTCCAAGACCAACCCCTCCTGCCAGACTCTGGGCAGGCTAGATTCAGAACTTCGAAAAGAGGGTTCTATTATGTATTTATTTATTTTTTTAAACTTTGCAGGCTAGATAACGAATTTCGTCGGCGTCCGTGATAGGTGTTCGGATGGTGAGCAAATTTAACAAAACCTTTTTTCATTCATTTATAAAAATATTATGGAACAATTAAAAAAAAAATTTTTAATTGATAAAAAACAAAAAATAAATATATATTTTGTAAATTATTATTTTTTCTGTCGAGATATAAATATTTTTTTAAAAAATATTGAAATCAAACCATTAAACCGTTGTTGTTACGAATACATCTCCATATCTTGTTGAAAACATCCTCAGCGCTTTTTATTGATCTACGTTTGTGGGATACAAATGACTATAGCAAAATAAAAGTATAATTAGCAAAGTTTGAATTACTCTTAAAAATAAAAGATTATTGTTTTTTAAATAAAAATATTTTTTTGAGAATGTGATTTTGTTCGAAATCTGGGTAAAAAAAATATTATGTGATTCATAAAAAATCTTTCATAATCGAAATCACAATTTTTTTTAAAAAAAATCTTCAATTTTGTGATTATAAAAGTTTTTTTGTTCAAAATTTTGAGCAAAAAATAATAGTATTAATATATTTTTTTATGGTTGGTTGTTATTATTATTTAAGTAAAACTCAAGAAAAAAACATTTAGATGATATAGAAAACTATTTTCATGTGTGTTTTAATTAAATTAAGATGCAGCAGAGATAACGCTTCATTTCACTTACAACGTCATTGTTTTGAATGTCCATCTTCCAATTCTGATTGCCCTACTAATACATATTTTTTCTCAAAGGATAGTAAATATATTATCATTTACAAAAGTGCGAGCTTTTTTAGAAAAACACCTTTGGACATTATATAAAAAAATAATAATTCAAATTAATATAAGTATTCACGTTGTAAAATACTATCTTGAATGAGGCATGTCAAAAGTTAATATTAAAAGGCTAATTTAAACATGTGTATAAATATCATTATAATATAATAATTAATTATCCAAAGACATACCAAATCAAATAAATTAGGGGACCATAAAAAATAATTCAAAAAATCAATAAATAATAATAAAACCGACCATAAAATAAACTAAAGTCCAGAACTAATATTCTATACATAAAACCAGCCATTTTTCTCGTAGCATTTGTTACTTTGCAAGCTTTTATTAATGACAGGGCTTTCAAATAAACTTTTGTTCATATTATAATAAATATCATTAGATGTGTGAAGTTTATAAAATTAGGCATGATGAACATGTATTCCACCCCCCCCCCCCCAAAAAAAAATAATCATTATAAATAAAATGTATGTTTATTTGAAAACCTTATCCGCTTTACCCATGTCGTCTATTAAAATGGTGCTAGAAGTGTTGGGGTTAGAAAAGATTTTGGCGTCGAGACAATTACCAATAACGTTAAGTGCACTTTTCTGCACCTCAGAGTCGTTGACAAAGCAGGCTTCGGCACATGCTAAAAGAACAGATATACCTTTTGGGGACAAAAAAATAATTAATTATATTATTCACAATTTATTTATCATAGGTAAAGCCAAGGGTAGGAAAAAGAAGGTCAAACGCGAAAACTGATTTAAAAAAAACTTAACCAGGTTAATTAAATTCTGAATGAACTGGATAGTGTAACACTAATTATCAAACTGCATCCAACTGATAGTTTAATTTGAAAAGTGTTTCCTTTCCATGTTGTACAATATGGGATCAGTGACCTTTACTGACTATAAATAAGAGATTTTCTGGATGATCAATATTACCTAAGACTTAAAAGAATGTCTAAAGACCTAGACAAAATCTAAAATTAACATTAGAGTCCTATTCGTCTGGCTCGAAATTCTTAATCGTTTTTAGGCCCAAGCTTGTCCTACTTTTTTAAAAATTCTCAGGTTCAGCTGAGCTTTAGGCCGAATTGTAGGGTTCTGATAAACACGCCTTTAAAAATGTTTAAGGACCTATAATAAAAGATCCGGCAGATATATCAGGACTAGCCTGCATGCTTCTAATATTTTAGCATAGTATATATATATATAATATATTGTTTACCAGTTGTAGCGTCTTGATTATCACTGGGGTGGGCAGTTATAGAAATGTTTGTGTTACAAGATGGGAAAGTCTGAGTTTTGCAGAGCTGGGACTGAGTGATCGGATTAAGAAGTGTGGCGTATTTTAAAATATCCAAAGCATTTCTAACTATTTCACTCCTATAATAATAATATAAAAATATATTTGAGAAGTGACAGAAATGAAAATATCGATTATCATAAATTAAGGCTGGGTATGGGTGCTTTCAGAGACCTACAGAAGTAATATAGGCATAGCCTTGTCTGGCACTTTTTTTAAATTTTGGCCTGGCTCAAATTTTTTTCATGATTATTTTTCAGCCCAACCCAGATTTTATATTTTTAGGCCCGGCCAGATTTTTTAAAAAAATTTTTTAGGCTTGTCGCAATATTTTTGAAAAAATATTTTGAGATCTGGCCTGGGTATATTTAAAATATTAAAATACCCGGGCCGGCTATGTAGGTCTCTGGGTGCTTTTAAGACAAATAAATATTCTAACAAGAATGAAATAATATAATCTAATATAAAAGATATGAAAGTAATTGTACCTGCCATGAAACGCCCATTCCCCTACCAATAAAATAAGTTTAAGTAGCAAAGGAATCACGCCCAATTTAAGCAGCTCCTGGATGCAGTTCCACTCACTGAGATTATGGTATGTTTCGGATATAATTTTAATAGCTGATACTATAACCTCGGGGGTGAGTTTAAGTGGCTGTATAATTAAATTTAAATAATTTTATCGAAATTGCATTGTAGTTAGAAGACAGAATGCCATCCGTCTGCTACAAAAAAGCTTTGGAATTATCTATTTTAATATTGACTGGACAATATTTTAAATAGGCTAATCTAATATATAAATGGCCAATAAAATAATATTTAAATCTACACACAACATCTGTTAAAGCATAGCTAACCTAGCTTTTATATTTGCATCCTAATCAGAGACCTGCAGACCCATGTTTTAAAATATGGCCCTTTTAAAATAATAAACCCAGACTGGGCCTAAAAAGAATGTTTTTAAATACTCGGGCCTGGATGAAAATTTTATAAAGCAGGGCTGGTCCGAATATTTTAAATCGAGATATTATATAAAATAAATATGTATAATTAAATTATATCACATTCATTCACATCTGTTAATTCCCATATCGTTTCAAAACCATTTTATCGGAAAAATTTTATACATCTGGGCCAGGCCGAAAATTCCATTTTTTAAAAATTCTGGGTCAGACCAAAAAATATTTTTAATCTGGGACAGGCTGTTGTGATATGATGTAAAAATGTATTGATTTTTGTGTTGAAATTAGGTTATTGATGAAAAGTGTAGAGAAAAATATATATTGATTTGGTATTATTGATATTTTTGAAAAAGTTTATGTAAAAAAAGAAAAGAAAAATTAATTATTGTATTCATTCTTCGCGTTTATAAAAAATATATTTTTTTTGTACTGAAATTGAAAGAAATAAAACATTTTTACAAGAAAATTTGTGTACGTTGTTTTTCTTAACTAAAAGTCCGTAAGTCTTACCACTAAGCATATAGAGATCACCACAGTGATGCCGTGACTATTTTAAGATACCTACTTTGTAAATAGGTTAAGCGAAAAAAACCATTGACTACCATTTTATACATAAAAGGCCAAAAAGTATTTTTTAAAAAAAAGGAAAAATTGGAAAGAAAGGTAAAATTATTTTTTTAAGATAAATTCTATGAATTGTTTATTGATAATATTAATAATTATAGTTATAATTTATTGTTTTTCTTTTAAAATAGTAAAAAAATTTTAATAAAATTATTAATAAGCTTGCTATAATATAAAAATTGAAATTGAGAAAATAAATAGTGTTAAAATAGTTTAAAAAAATTTTAAAAAAAATGTGGAATAGAAAAATAATTACAACTAAAAATTATTTTGAGTTTAAAGATTTTGCACAAGGAGAAATATATTCGAGTACAATTGTAATAATAATTGTATGGGTTGCGGGTTATTTATGGTATAGAAAAAGTGTAAATAAAGAATCAAATAGGATAAGGTGTTTAAAACAAATAGAAGAAGAAAAAATAGAAAAATTTCAAAAAAAAATGGAAAATTTTTTTAAGGAAATATATGTAATGGAAAATGATGATGAAAAAAAAAAGAATATTGAAAACGGATATTTTTAGCGATTCTGAAAAGAGAAAATTTGAAAGTAATTTTCAGGGTTGTGCATTTGACCGGTCAAATACGTTTCGGTCAATTGACCGATATTTGACCGGCCAAATACGGTCAAATGTGGTCAAATTCAAATATATTTTTTTAAAGTTAATATTAACTTTATTTTGAATATAATAGTAAAATGAATCTATAATATTAATTTTTTAAATTCATTCAATAACTAACGTGTAGCTATCTGTATCAGAGTCTTGTTCTGATTCATATTCAATATTATCATTTTCTTTAATATTTATTAAACAATTTTCCTGATATCTTAGATCTTAAATCGATTTCTATTTTCATAAGAATATTAACCCAAATCGACCTATTTCTTTCTAAAGAAGAAGTAGAACTAGGAATTGTTAGTCTCTTAATGGGCAGGGTAGACAAAGTTTAATCTATTAACTTGAGGTCGGAATTGATTGTTTCTGGAAATTACTACTTTCCACATATTTTGCTATATTAAACATGCTGTTTTTGCTTCTGAAATTAATTATATCACTTAAAATATTTTGGTCATCACTACCTTGTAAAATAGCTAATTCTTGAATTATATCACATACTTCATTAATTACACTACTAGTGAGTTCTCCTCTTGATATTGTGGACCCGAAAAATAAGCAAACATTCTGATCACATGTATTTACATCTTTTTTCCCTTTTTTAAACATATTTTTAATTTATTTTTCCTTTAAATTTTTTAGAGTATTTGACCGTATTTGACAGGTCAAATACTCCTCCGGTCAATTGACCGGTCAATTGACTGAATTTGACTGGTCAATTGACCGACTTGCCAACCCTGGTAATTTTAATAGACCAGATTTCGTTAAAGAATCTGAAAAAGAAGAAAGAAAAGTGAAAATGGAAAATCGAAATTTGGAAATAATGAAATTGGAATAATAAATTTGATAAAAAATAGAGTATTAAAGGAAATAGAAATTGAAAATATTAAAAAAAAGAAAATTGAAAAAGAAATTTTAGAAAAGGAAAATAAAGAAGAGGAAAGGAAAGAAATGCTTAAAAAATTTAAGAATTAGAAAGTAAAATTACACAAGGGCATGAATTTAATGTTAATAATAATAAAAGTCAAAAAGAATGTTATAATTGTGGAAAATATGGGCATTTAAGTAGAGAATGGAATGCCAGAGTAAATCCAGAAATATTACCGAAATATGTAAAAGATGTGGAAATAAAGGACATAATGCGGAAGAATGTTACGTTCCGGCGTATAAATTAGTAAATGGGAAACAAAAAAATGTAATTTCTTGTGAAAATTGTGGTAATTTGGGACATACTAAAGATAAATGTTATAAAAATGAACAAGGTATTTCCAAAGCGTTTCCAGCAGTGGAATACGTAGAAAGTGAACAGAAAAATACATTTAAAAGAAATAATAGAGATATAACTTGTTATAAATGTCGTAATATTGGGCATTATGCAAGGGATTGTACAGTAGAATGACTGTATGATAGCAAAATAAAGACATTAGGAGGAGTTACATCAAAAAATACAGAGGATCAGATAAATAAAGTAATGTTTACAAGTTCAATAAATGATAATAAAATAAAAATGGAGAATGGAGTGATTGAAAATGAAAATTATGGGGTTTATAAAAATATGTTAGTAAATGTAACACAAGGGAATCAAATATGTAATTTACCTATCTTTAATTTGAAAGATAGTAGGAATTATGATCAGTCCAAGGGTTAAAATCAATATAGGAAATAAAGAAATTTGGATGTTATTAGATACCGGGGCAACAATTTCGGTTCTGGGATACGAGGAATTTCACGAATTATTGCCGGATAAATTTATAATTAAGGATAAAATGAGAATAAAACAATTAAATGGATCTGAAGTTATGGTAGTGGGAAGGGTTAATTTACCGGTTTTGGTAAATGAAGAAATAATATATTTGGATTTGTGGGTATTAAAAGAAAAAATTGGTGCTATTATGGGATGGTCTTAGATATCAAAGTTTGGATTAGAAAATAATTTTTGGAATATGTTTCAAGGGAAAAATAAAAATAATGAAAATATTAGAATACCAGAGATTTCGGTAAAAGAAATGGATATCAAAAAAATGGAAAATGAATTTTAAAAAAATTTGATTTTGGAGAAAATTAAAGTTGAAAATATAAAGATTGATAATCAGGAAATTGGTGATAATACAAAAAAAGAAAATTTAGAGAATAAAATATCAAGGTGGGATAAAAATAAAAATTTGGTAAATAATTTTGAGGAGATTCAGGAAAATAAAATAATTATAAATGAAAAATTGGGTCAGGAGGAAGCTAATTGTGTGAATAATAAAAATGAAATAGGTATAATAGATGATTCAGGAATTGAGGAAAATATTGATTTGGATATTGGTAATATTTCTGTTGATGTGGAAATGGATAATATTACGGAAAGAAATGATGAGAATTTTAATTTTGAGATAAACGAAAAGATGATTTTAGAGAAATCGGGACTAGAGAATAGTTATGTAAGAAGTGATGAAATTTATAAAGATTCGAATTTAGAGAGGGAAAAATTGCCTGTATCACAAAATTTTCAGGTGAAATTGGTGAGAAAAAAAATTGATGGTAATAATAGAAGAAATTGATGTAAGTCTTGATTTAGGAATTTTAAAGGAGTCGGTTAGAGATTTGGTAAATAAATATAAAGAAATTTTTGATGAAAAATTAAGACGTTTAATAGATTATGAAGTAGATATACGTTTGAAAGGATATATTCCACAATATTGTGCTGTTCGTAGAGTGCCTTTTGAGTGGAGAGCAGAAATGGAAAGGGAATTAGATAAAATTTGTCCCATTGGATATAGCGAATGGGCAACTCCATTAGTTCCAATAAGGAAGGCTAATGGCAAGTTAAGAATTTGTGCGGATTTTAGAGTAACTTTAAATCCGTGGGTTGTGGAAGTAAAGTATCCGTTACCGAGAATTGAAGAAATTTTAGCGAATTTGAAAGGGGCGAAGTATTTTTCAAAAATAGATTTTTCATGTGCATATTTGCAGTTACCTATGAAAGAATCTACGAGGAAATTGTTAACCATAACGACGTTTAAAGGATTGCTTATGTTTTGTAGATTGCCATTTGGATTAAGTGTTTCGGCCCCGATTTTTTAAAGAACAATGGCCGCGGTTTTTCAAGGGTTAGAAGTGTTTTTTTATTATATGGATGATGTATTGATTACAGGAATAACGGTAGAACAACATAATCGAAGGTTGGAAGAGGTTTTTGAACGAATAAAAGTTAAAGGATTGCGTGCGAGTAGCGAAAAAAGTGTTATGGGAGTTACCGAAGTTATATATTTGAGACATAAAATAAATGGAATAGAGGTAAAACCGTTGGAGAAAAATTTGATAAGTATTGTGAATATGAGAAAGCCGATGAATAAGGCAGAAATTCAATCGTTTATGGGAATGGTAAATTATTACCATAGATTTATTGAAGATTTTGCAAGGATAGCAGCTCCCTTATATGAGTATATGAGTTATTACGGAAAAATGTA